TTGGAGAATTTTCTTATTCCATACTATCTTTAGAATACAGTATTTCAAATTTAAATTTAAAGAATTCATCAACAAATGAAAAATTGGGTATATTATAAACGAGAATTGGTTGGAAGGATAATTTAGTTCTTATACACATATATACATATGCTGGAATATTAAACCATCATTAATTTGAAACAGAGTAATTGATTTGGTGATGCACAAAAAAAAAATGACAACCTCATTTGTTATCAAACAAACAGAAAGAAATTGCTCACCGAATAAGATAAAGTCGAGGCTTTTATTGGGCATGTACTCGTAAACTAACATGGTTTCCTCTCCTTCAATGCAGCATCCTAAAATCTTCACAAGATTTCGGTGCTGAAGTTTAGCGATAAAGATAACTTCATTCTTGAACTCTTGTATTCCTTGTAATGATGCTTTCGATAATCTTTTTACTGCAATTTCTTGTCCACCTCCCAGCGTGCCCTAAAATCAACCCGATTATGTGCACATGCAAAAGAAAAAAAAAAAAAAAGAAATTGTGAAAACTGAATTTAGAGAAACTAAGAATTTTGGGTAAATTCTAGCATGTATATGATTTTGGTGCATGTACATTTCTCGTTAGATATATATCGGCATGAGTGTAATTGTACCTTGTAGACAGGTCCAAAACCACCCTCTCCGAGCTTGTTGTCTAGTGAAAAATTATGAGTAGCTTTTGATATAGTCGATAAGTCGAACAACGGAAGCTCCAGATCTTTACCATCACCTTCATCATTCCTTCCTGCAACTTAATTCGTACAAGTACGGATATCATTTTTTTTTCTTTTTTGGCATTTTGCAATATCGATATTCGACAATATGGAATATATTAGAACCTACCTCTCGTCTTCACCTTCACATAGTATTTTTTTCTCATGTAAATCCACAGCCCGAAGCTCATGCATAGGAGAATCGCTCCCAGTGACGAGGCCAAGATCACTATAAATATTTTATGGCCCTTTCTTCCCGAATCTGCAACATCATATTACAAAAACAACAATCGTATTAACGAACTTCATCGTATTATATGAATAGTAAAACAGAATGTTATGGAACGAATACTTACCTAATTCAGAATACGCCATTCTAATGTAAATGTCTTGTCCTTCACCGTACAATTCTTTAATGTCAACGAGGTCACCAAACCAAGCCAAACATCCGCTTCCGCCGTTTCTTATATCGGAATTCGTGTAAGCCACGCAAGAACAGTTTTTCAGGCAAAATTCTTTGCATTCTTCGAGATTCATGCTCGCATTAAACCACGAGAACTCCGTATCCGGCAATTTAATTCCAGAATACTTCACGAATCCGTCGGTTGCGCAATCCAACTCAGTCCTTCTAAGACAGCCGTTCGACCAATCCATATCCACCCACTCGACCGGATTTCTAGGAACGAATCTCTCCAAACATCCGCATATCGGAATGTTTTGAGCGTTGCAGATTCCGTAAACACCACACTGTTTATAAGAATCGCACTCCATCGGCAAATTCTTGTAAAGCGCCCAAATCCGGCTTCGTTCGATCCACGTCCACCGCTGCACAAAGCCGCTCTGGTTCACTATTAACCTCGAAATCAGCGATTTGTCGGGGATCGTATATCGGTAGTAAACCTCGGTCGTGTCGTAAACGAAATTGAACGCGAAAGAAGGACTCGATTTCAATCCAGGCATCCCACTGTACCGCAATCCATTCCACGGTCCTGTGTTGAACACTTTAACCGAACCCCGTCGAAGAACTCCTTGAGGATATCCGGTTGGATCCAGACGGTACGTGCAATCCCCCGTCGCCGGATCGTCGCTCGATTTCCACGACGACACGTAAGTTTCATGCCCCGTTACGAAGTTCACACCGAACTTCATACCCTCTAATATTGTGTCAGTTGGATAATCAAAGCTCTGCCAAAGGTAGTCTTCATCATTATCATCATTTCCTTCTTTAACAACGAGATTTCCTGAGTCAAGCAATTTCACAAACGGGTTGCGTGCAACTCGCGATGAGTTGGAAGACCATATGACTGAGTTACTGCCATTGACAAGAGCTAAAATTCCTGGCTGGGTGACGATTAACGAAGCCCCCGATGAGTTCGTGAGTGGATTATTTCGATTGGCAACCCAAACAACAGTGAATGCTGAAATGTTCTTGAACCATATGCCGACGTATCGATTCTTGGAATCTCCCGGGCTGAAAAATCCCAATTCGAAACTCCCGCCAGATGAAATCAGTGTGTCGCCGCCGTCTGTAATAACGTGGGTTGAGTTTATTACATCAACGGCGTCGGAAAATGGGTTGATGATTGCTAGCAAAGATGATAAAACAAGAAGAAAGGTGAGCATAGTTTTTTTCATGGTGTATTATTAATTTATTATACTACACAGTCTGAGAGTCAAGCTTTCTTTCTGCAATCTTCTTACATTTAAATTCCCAGCTACCAGGGTGGTTAAAAAGATGGTGACTTTGAATTGCCGGGGTCCAAACTCTAATTATTTTATTTTATTTTTTATTATTATTATTTTTAAATTTTTTAATTTTTTTGTGTGACTCGTAATCACTGCCGGCTATGAGCTTATGCTCCACAAGCAATGGCTTTGGGCCCCACTTTCTAAAGCGGCCCCAAATTAAAACAAAAAAAAATGTATATTTTCAATGATATTAAGTGTAGGTTTATGCATTTTTATCCTCATTCACTAATGTCATAAATTTATTTTTGTTTGTTTTATAAATTTAAATAAGTTTTAATCATAAAATGGTCATTTTTTAAAAGTTCGCTTAGGGCCCAAAAAATGTCCCTGCTCGTAATTAGGTGTTAAATTAGGGTTGAACAAGTCCGACCATTGAACTCGTCAAACTCATTCTAAAAGGAGTTCAATTTTTTTTAATATATGTGACGTCGTTTTGTTTATATTATGTTGTATAATAAATTAATTATATATAATAAATGAATAAAATATATTTTACATGTAAAAACTTATATCTATAACAATCACATCGTCTCGTTTTATCTATAGTTATTTATTTTATTTTAAATCTTATCTTATAAAGCTTTGAATTTAGTTATCTTTTATGGATTTATATGATTAAAACTCATTAATTATGATTTACTTTTGACATTTATCATTGATATTATTCACGTTGTTTTCAATTCAAAATTTTACGCTTGGTCGTTCATTTTAACTTTTAAATAGTTTCACGTCAAACTTATAAATTATTTAAAAAAATGGCATGTATAAATTATGACGGGTTTCGACCGGTGAAGGTTGGATCTATACACCTGCCATGGACCCGTCTACTAAAATTAAGAACCGTTAGTTGACAGAACAAGGATGAGTTTTGCTAGAACCCGTGGGTTTATAGCTGCGCAACACACCTTTAGTGTAAATTATAACGACTTTTGGAAACTTTTATTTTCAATTTTTTTGATTTTATTTGGAAACAAATTAGAGTTAGTTTTACACTTCTGAAAAAATTGCAATTTTTTTTTCAGAAGTGCTAATTGTGATTCGTTCCGACCTATTTTTGTGCTTATTTATGACTATAAAATCCAATTCATATTGTATGGCCTTTGTTCGCGTGGATATTTCCTCGGGTTAAAATTTATATCGGATTTAAATTGACTTATAATTCTAATAATTAATTATTATGGAAAGACAAGTGAGAATAATTCTACTTAATACATAATTATAATATATAAACTTTGTAGTCCATAGTATATTACAAATATATCAGACAAAAATGAAGAGAAAAAAAAAATAGTTTATGAATACCTAACGAAAGTTGGGGAAATTGACTGGATGTCCTATTTCTCGAAGTTATATAAGTAGAAATATTATTTATTTGATGAATATATCCTTGGGTCCTATTACTCAAAAAAATAATATAAAATAAATAAAGAGTTTTTGTGCATAAGTCCCTGACCAACCACCTTTATTATTCGCGGTTCAGGGGCTATATCTCTTTCGTCGATAATCACATCCCTTTAATATGTATTATAAATAAAGTGTAAATTGCAGTCACCCCCTGATGTATGGTCAAATTACGAAAACCCCCTCATGTTTGGATAATTATAACCACACCCTCAACTATAAATCTTCTTACACCCCTTACGGTTTCAAATTTAGTGGAATCTTCGAGATTATATGGAATATTATCACTTTTGTACCCATTATATCCCATTCGAACTCTACATTTTGAAGTAAGATGATCATAATATGTGTTTTTTGGCTTTTATACAATAGATTGTGGTGCATCAGAAACTGTATTTTTACGGAAAACGAGTATAAACCATAGCACATTCTACGAAATCTGAATGATTATGTTGAATTTGACACCATAAGGGTGGAGGTATAATAAAAAATCATAGTTGAAAGGCTAAATGTAACTATCCAAACTAGAGGGATTTTTTCGTAAATTAACCATACCTCACGGGGTGGTTGTAACTCACCCTATAAATAAATGAAAAATTAATGTATATGACAAAATTGCCCCCAATCCTTTACACTCAATTCTTAATTGTAAACCCAATTTAATCAATTTGACCACAAAAATCCAATTTTGACTTTTTTTTTCTAAAGTTATTTTTTTGCCGCCGGTTTTCGGCGTTGACTTTTTCAACAACAGTACAATTACGTTAATGTACTGTCAACAACAATATAATTACGTTAATGTACAGTATAACTACTATTAAGACAGTACAGTTACGGTCAACGATTAGCGGTGGGGTAAAAACAAATAAAAATTTTAGGAAAAAAAATCACTTAAAAAAATTCAACGCCGTAGATCAGCAGTCAACGCCGGAAACAAAAAATAAAGAAAAAAAATCGAAAAAATCAACGTCGGAATCCGACGGTGGAAAATTCTTTTTTGAAAAGTCAATATGGGAGACCGGCGGCAAAAAAATTAATTTTTGAAAAAAAAATCAAAAAAAAGTCAAAATTGAATTTTTGTGGTCAAAATTGATTAAATTTTGGTTATAATTAAGAATTTAGTGTAAATGGTTGGGGTAAATTTTGTGATATATATTATTTTTGCTTTATTTATAATAAATATTAAAGGAGAATGGACTTATTGACGAAAGAGATATAGTCATAAACCTAGAATAATAAAAATCGTTGGTCAGAAACTTATGCACAAAAATCCTATAAATAAAACTAATTACACATAGACAACCTCCGGTGTCTACTTAAAAAAAAAAAAATCCCACAAATCACTCTCTATATTTCCTCTCGATTTCACATGTTTATTCTCTCTCTCTTTCTCTCTCCTTTCTCTTCCACACTCTCTCTCTCTCTCTCTCTCTCTCTCTCTCTCTCTCTCTCTCTCTCTCGTCTTTGTCCTCTCTATCATCTATGTTTTCTCTATCGTCTCTGCTCTCTTATTTCTTGTGTGCAATTTGCAAGAATTTTTTGTTTGCAATTTACTACTAGTACAGTTTGTCGGTTGCATTTTTTTTTTTATTATTATTTGCAATTGTTCATTTTCACTTTAAAGTTCTTGTTGCAATTTCTTGTTCATACGTGTTTGAACCAATTTTGCGATTATTGATGTTTTCGGGACGTGGCGCTTTGTTCGGGCTAGGGTGGTAAACAAGCCGAGCCGACTTGTGAGCTCGATGAGCCGGCTCAAATAAAGCTCGGACTCAAGTTTTTCGAGCTAGATCTTTCAGACGAGCCGAGGTCGAGCCAGTTTTTTAGTTGTTCGTGAGCTCACGAGCCGGCTCGCGAGCTTATTTATTATTTTAGTTGTTATATATTATTTTTTATTTAAATATTGAACAATATAAAATATTATTGAAATAAATATGAATAAAATATAAATATTAAAAAATATATATAATTACAATTTATTGTTTATTTTGTATTTTTTTTAAATAATTTGTAATGATAATAATTAAAAAATATTAAAAAAAAAATGAGCTTGGGATCGAGTTCGAGCTCGAGCTCGACAAAATGGACATGAGCTTGAGCTCGAGACAAAAAAAAGGAACTCGAAGAGCTCGAACTCGAGCTCGACAAAATAGACTCGAGTTCGGCTCGTTCACACCCCTAGTTCAGGCAGTGGGAGAAGTGGAATTCGCAAACACCCAACGAAGAATTTGAAAATTACAAACACCATACAACAAACAACAAATGAAAATTTGAAGAGATCCAAATAGCAAACAACAGACGGAAATATGAAATTATAAACGATTCGAGTGTAACTATGGCAGACGCGATGATGTTTTGCAGACGATTCGAGGATTGGTGACTATGCAGTCGCAATGAAATTTTTTGTATAAGGTTTGGTATTGCAAATTTGATTTTACGACAGATTTGGGAATGTGGCATAATTTCGGTTACTTTAGGGGAGAGAATTGTGGGATTAATATTATTCTGGATATTTTTATTTTCATTAGTTATTAGGAGTTATTTTTGACAAATCAAAATTAATTTATTGACTGAAAATTGGACCTTATTAGTTGGATGTACACACATAGAAGCTATTATCTTAAGAACTATAGCAAATTGCCCCGTAATTCCTTTGCAAATTAGAGTACACTGTTTAAAATGATTCAAATAGTATAATTTAAATGTTTTTAATTAAATTTTGAATACAGTGGTGGATCGTTTGGACAAGTGGGCTTAGAACAACTCCAATGGAATTATCAATTGGAGTATCCCAACTTTTAACCACCATTTACATACTAAAATTTAGAATTTTTTTTACTTCAATGGAGTTATCAAATGAGAGTTATATTTTGATAATTCACATCTTGGGATGTAAACTTATTGGAAATTGAGTTATACAAAATATAACCTCCTAAATATCCAATTACAAGTTGACATGTGGCTATTACAAATAAAATCACTCATAAACTTCCAATTGATAATTAATTTGATATCCATGATTGGAGTAGATGACTTTTAGTGAATACTAAAATATTGTCTCAAATATCAAATGCGTATTTAATAACTCAAATTTTATCTACCATGGGAGTTACTCTTATACCCACAAATCCGGCTTAATCCCACTTTGCACCCTTGATATGGTATTTTGGCACTTCGCACCCTTGAAACAAATGCATTTTGCACCCTTGAAACACAATAAATCATTCACAATGCACCATGAATTGAATATTTAAAACTTGATGAGGGTAATTTAACTTTTTATTGGTTTTTATTTATTTATTTTCGGATGCAAATAACAAATTAAATTATTATTTTCTTCCACACCCCAACCCCCAACATAATTTCGAGCGTACGAAATGCGAAAAAACAAGAATGACAAAAGAATTACTAAAAAAAACTATATTTTCTTTAAAAAAATCACTAAATTATTCGATTGGTGAATTTTTATATTGTAATTAGTGAAAATATTTAGTAGAAATATATGGAAGAAAATATAATTTTCAAACAATTTGATACATAAATAGCTGAAGGATATTTTGGTTCTTTTTTTGTTTTTTTTTTTGTTTTTGTAAATATTTCTTTGTGGAGAAATAATAATTTAATATGTTGATTAAATGTGATT